TTGGCTGGGATTGTGTCCAGCTGATGATGTAGTAGTATGGGCTCCTAAGGGAGCAGACCCCTTGAGCATGATCTTCTGAGCTCACTGAAGAAAGCGCTGATTCACAGAATTCAGACCTAAAACCATAACTTCTAAACAGAAAAGTACTGCTTACGAAACCTCAAACAGTGCTTTCAATGGACTTACATGGTATAACAGTTTAGGGCAGCAGTACAATCCATTTCCATTTATTTTCAAATCATTTTGGACAACTGATACGTCAAAAGAAACAAACGGTTTGGAAGTTCTGTTTGTAGCTTTGTGCATCCCCCCTGAAAAGCTGTTCTGGGAGGGGTGTTCTGATGAAAGGCAGGGGGAACATCAGATGGGTAGGAGTGGGGGCTGCACTGAAATGAGGGAATTGGCAGAAATTTCCCCTTTTGCTGAAGCAGTACTGACCAGTCTTCAGCAATTGAGAATATTTATGTAGGCTTTAGAATAAAGACGTGAATGTCATATATTTCCATTTATTACTACATTGCATTACAGCACACAAAATTCAGTCTTGCCATTAGATGGTGAACTAATGCATCCATTATATGCAAGTAACTAACTAATTCCATATTCCGAATATTAGAAGATCAGTCTTTGATTTCACACCCCCCCATATGAAACACAAGAAGCATGTTGACGACCCTGGCAAATATTTGGATGGGAGACCTCCAAAGAATACCAGGATCAGAGGCAGAGCCAGGCTATCAATCCATTTCTCTGAATATCCTCCATGCCCCAGTATGTGTCAGAGGCTGCCATGACTTCTAGGCATGGGCACACACACGCGTGCACACACACACACACACACACACACACACACACACAATGCAAAAAAATACCCCCCAAAAGAAGCATGTTGACATTTTTGTATTTAAAGGGTGTTTAAATCATACAGAAGGTTAAATTTTCATCAAATTAAAATTGCAATCATATTTTGATTTCACACATTGTTTTGCTATCTTTATATCCCAATGATAAACTGTAATTAACATTTATTCTATATGTAATGTATTATAGATAAATCTGCTCCCATTTTAAGTACCTGGGTTCAAGACTGATTCTCAGTACTTGATGTTTTAACAGTTCAATATGAGGACATTTTCCTGGGGGTAAACCCCATATTGAGTAGACCTGAGCAGAATTCTGAAGAAGACCTGCTTAGGATAGCACTGCAAATTTTTCAGAGTCACATCTATATACATAAAAGGAAGTTCCCTCACTGTAAAATCAATGCCCGGGCCAAATCCCTGGTCCTAGAAACATGAAATTCGGGGAGAGCACTCCTACCATGGCATAGATGCTCACTAAGAAGGGATGTTTAGAAATTCGACCCCTAAGGGGGTCAAAAGGGGTAAAATGTGCTCCCCCATTGCTTCCTATGTGGCTGCCAGGCTGCTGCCTCCTTGCACCCCCCCCCCTCTGATTAGTCAGCTGCAGAGGTCAGTGTTCTGAGGTTTTTTTAAAAAAAAGTTACAGGAGACTGCAGAGAGATAATGACAGTTGAGGAAATCAGGAATGGCCAACCACCTGTGAGGTGCAGCAGTGCTGCTGGCCCAGCCTCCCCATGGCTTCAAACACGCTCCCCCCTCCTACACCTGACTGGCGGCTGTCTGTCAGGTAAAGCAGAGGGTCCAGGCTGCTTAAAGCCATCAGGGAGCCTGCCCCAGCAGTAATGCCTTAGTGATCCTGCTGGCCCAGCCTCCGCAATGGCTTCTAATACTCCTCCCCTCCCCCTCCTACACTGGACAGGCAGCTGGCTGTCAGGAGTAGGAGATGAGGTGGGATGCTTACAGCCATTGGGGAGGTTTGGTCAGCAGGACTGCCTTAGCGCTGCTGCTGATCCAGCCTCCCTGATCCCTTTAAACACAATAGCCCCCCCTTACACCACATAGGCAGATGTTTGTCAGGTGTAGGAGGGGGGTGGGATGCTTACAGTTGCTTAGCAGGATTACCTGCTGCTGGCCCAGCTTCCCTGATGACTTTAAACACACTCCCCCCAACACCAGACAGGCGGATGTCTGTCAGGTGTAGGAGCATGGCCAGGGTACTTTAATCCATCAGGGATGCCACCCCAGCAGGATCACCTTAGCAATGCTGCTGGCCCAGCCTCATCAATGGCTTCAGCCACACTCCCACCCACTATGGAAATATACCCCAAATTTGTAGAAAAGTGGTTTCCTTTATTAGGTTATTTAACTTCTCACAATGTAGGTTCTAGAAAATTGGTTCATATGAACTTGCTTAATATCTGATCGCTCAGATGGTGTTTTGAATATGTAGTTATGTCCCACTTCTTAAATGTAACATAAATAAGCATTTTTGTAAAAAAAAAATAAAAAAATCAATGCCCAGGCCAAACTCCTGCACCAAGAAACCTCGGTCAGCTGTGTAGTTCAGAGTTCTGAGGTAAAACCTGCCTACTTGCACCCACCTCCCTCTGATTGCTCAGCTGTGATGTCAATGTTCTAAGGTAAAACACAGTAGAAGAGACTGCAGACAGCTGAGGACAGTTACAGAAATCAGCAATTCAAGACTCCTGAATAGACATTTTTCAAAAAAAGCCAGCATGGGAATTGAGTTAATGAATGTTCATGGGGCAATAGTAAAGGACATTTCTAGGAGCCATTTTGATGTGTGCCTCCCTCATGAACCTGAAGAAATGTCCACCATATCACCACTCCCTCACACCAACTCCCCCTCACACCTCTCACCTCTTACTGCCCCCATGAAAGCTCCTGGCAAACGTCAAGCCAGATACACCAACGCTACAAGGAGGAGGCAACTTAGGAATGTGGCAAAGATATTTGCACATAGAAATCCTGTGGTGCACTGAGTTGCACAGGCCAAGTACCAGCAAGATCACCCTGAGGTACTCAGAACAACACAGTCTCCATATGAGCAAAACAATCCAGGAACACAAGTTGAGAGGCCATCACTTTCGTGGAAGGTGGTAGGAGCTGACTTAACAGACGATTGCTTCTTAAATGGACAGTTCTATGTGGCCTGCTCTACAGTGAGCTCACCAAGCAGCCTGGTGATCCTAGCACCTGAGGGCAGAACCACCAACGTCCTTCATAGAGAAAAACAAAGTACGTATGTCTCACTTCATTTTTTACACTACAATCTTCTCCATTAGAATTCCTACAACAAATGTTACATTTCAAACTTCACATCATCAGTATTATAACTGGATTTACGGAACTTAAATACCGTAGTGAAGCATGGGTATCAGGCTAGTGTCAAATATATTCTTTGCCTTCTTTATTGTTATATCTAGACTTAGACATAACTGGAATAGAAATTATATGTAAAATATTAAATACAAATATATGATGACGATACATTACTGATTTGTCAAAACCATTTCACTCAATTTCTAAACTTTAAGATCTAATAAATGAATTCTCACCTCTATCAAAATTCTTAACAAATCAGAACAAGTCAATAAATATACTGATCAGCTATAGGGAGATAAATCTTGTTCTACAGGGTAGATTTTTGGAAGTGAATTTTAAATTTTGTTAAGTCCTTATAAGCATAACTTCCAGCCTTTCTAAAATAATCATTGTGAATGTGATTTTTTTGCTAGAGAATATTGTCAGGTTCAGTAATTCAGCAGTTCGAGACCCGGGTGCCACAAGACGGAGTGAGCTCCCGTCTCTGGCCCCATCTCTGGCCAACCTAGCGATTCAAAAGCAAGAAATTGCAAGTAGATAATAGGTACCACTTCGGTGGGAAGGTAACAGCATTCCGTGCGCCTTGGTGTTTAGTCATGCTGGCCACATGACCACGGAAACGTCTTCGGACAGTGCTGGCTCTTCGGCTTTGAAACAGAGATGAGCACTGCAACCCTAGAGTCAGATTCGACTGGCTTTTGAGCAAGGGAACCTTTACCTTTACCACAGGTGGATTTCATTTGGGCTGAATAAATACAATAAAAATGACTACTGCATCAACTTGACATGAAGGATTTTACCAAATTTTACTCAAACCATTATGTTCGTGCAGTTTCAGAAGACATAAATTTAGTTAATAAACATATGGGGCATTTTTAGACAGTTTTATTGTACTTATATTTTATTGTTGTCTGGGGAATTCCCTGTTGCCTCTGGACCTACCTGGAGAGACAAGAGGGATGAGGAAGAAGTCAGCAGTCAATTAAGAGGCTGCCATAACTCTTGGCCTTCTGCTACTGGCCCTGGCAGCCAGAGACAAGTAGGGTTGCCAAGTCCTTCCTAGTCTCGGGGGGGGGGCTTTTGGGGTGTTTCTGGAGGGAGCGGGGACACCCCCAACATGATGATGTCATTCAGAAGTACTGTCATCATGTTGGGGACTGTGACCCCAAGCAGCAAATTCGCCACTTGGAGATCAGGCACATGTGGCCCTGTTGCTTCTTGCGAAAAAGCATTTGAAGGGACCCTTTAAATGCTTTTGTCAAGCGGGGGGCCTATGCCTGAACTCCAAGTGGCTGCATGCTCCCACTGATCAGCTGGAGGCCCTTTAAATCTCAGAGTAGGGAAGGGAGAGGGGTGGCCACTAGTGGTCACTGTTAGGGGTGGACCTTAGGGGCAGGTCTTCCCCCACCAGCCAAATTGGGGGATTCTCCACCCCCACCTGGGGACTGGCATCCCAAGAGACAAGAAAGCTGGCCAATGAGCCCAGTTGCTGATACTGGACTTCACCTGAGAGTGTTTGGGTCATTTCAGATGCCCCAAGGCAAAGTGAAACAGCTAATTTCACATTTAACTTCAGCTCAGGTATCTCTGAATGCATGCCCCTCATAAAAATCACATCCTATCTAGAACAATTTTGATTCATTACTCAATGTAAGCCAAGAGATGCAATCCAGGACTACTGCCTCAATGCCTTTAAAAAAATAGAATATTAAAAATTAGCACCTTAGTATAGACAAAGAAATAGGTTCCACAGAAAAGTGGGGAAATGTACAAAGTAACTTGCTTGCTTACCTCCATCTAGTTCTTCAGCACCAAAATGATTCCGGTAGAATAGCATAATCTCAATCTTGTAACATTTGTAGATAGTGACTAAACAAATAAGCAGTAGCAGAATAGCACCAAGGCCACCAGCAAGTTCAACTGTGTACATTAGTTCTGCAAAGAATTATAAAACATAATCATCACCACATTCTGAACTAAAGACAGTTATTTATATTGATGTCTGGGGGGAAAAGCACCCTCTAACATTTCTCATATATAATAGGATGAGACGGTAAAAGAGCAAATGATTAAATGGGCTATAAACATGAATAAGGAGGTGACTATGGCATCTTGGGAATATTTGTGGGAAAATGCAATAAAAATTTCAACTTGTAATAATGTAAAAGAGAATTGTTATAAAATGATGTATAGGTGGTATATGACGCCAAAAAAATTGCAAATATGAATGAAAATATGTCAAATAAGTGTTGGAAGTGTAAGAAAAAAGAAGGCTCTTTTTACCATATGTGGTGGACTTGTGACAAAGCTGTAACATTTTGGACAGAAGTCCATAATGAAATGCAGAAAATTTTGAAGTGTACATTTAAAAAAGAACCAGAAGTTTTACTTCTAGGTCTTAAGATTTTTTTTACTAGAGAAGATTTTATTGTATTTAGCCATAGGCCATTGCAAACCACAGACAGAGAAGAGCACAATAAAACACAAAAACTGTATAAAATAAGATACAATCCAACATTATAAATCCATAAAACCGAGGTTATGAACAGTTAAAACCGAGGTTATGAACAGTTAATTAAGTCACAACATACCCACTAAAATCAGTATGAGCTAGGAGCAGCGTTGGCCCGTATTTTCCTTGCAGCCAAGGCAAATAAAGCCATTCATATATAATACATTTGGCATTCCTTTATGAATGCAGGGCATGTGCTCCCTGTTTGGTTTGCACAAATATTATAGCATCACAAACAACTATCTTTTTGTTGAAGTAAACATAGGCAAAACAAGCATATGGGATACATGCAGCAATTCACTTGTGAGACTGCATTCCTCAATACCTTCTGTCAAACATGTAGGATAAAGCTGAAGACAAATTATTCCACGTCTCCCAGAATCTCCTGTTTTGGTTGTGTGTTAATATTGCTGACACTATCCTGTTGATATGCAATTCATCTCCCCCCCCCCCCAGCTCTCCATAAACAGCTTTGCTTTTTTGTTTTAGATGTTGCAAATTATCCCAATTTGTCATTTCTTCCATTCAAATTTAGAACATGACCAATTTCTTGTGCTACTTTGTTCCATGGAAGATTACATGATGGATTGAGATCACTGTCAGTTTCCAAGGATGAAAAAGGCCTGAACAAATGCAGTTGTATCTGTCTGTCAACACCAATCTCCTTAGCAATATTACTTATCAGATAATAACTATAAGTGGTATCGTCATCATAGCCCATTGCCCTCCTATCGGCCAAGCAATTGCACACAAAAGACATATGACTGATCATTCTGAGTCAATTGTACTATTAGTTTTACTATTAAGAAGGCAATGAGAAATAGTAAAATAAAAAAATATATACCACTAAAGGCTCTTATATTTTTATGGCTGTATTGAAATTAGAGGCAAAGAAATATTCACCTGTCATTTTCTCTCCCTCCTAGCTTTTAAAAAATGTCTCTGGCTGGATTATTTTTTTTAAATCAAATAGTAAAAATAGAGTTTGACATATGAAAACGCAAATTGAGCAAGAATGCAAAATAAAAAAATATTGTGCTATAAATGCAGCAATAACTAAGTGCATTTTCAAAAGCTTGTCTTTTGAATACCAGATGGTAATTGTGACACCATCAATTTGTATGCAGTTCCATATCTACAAATGTTATGCAGGTCTCCTAGAACACCCGGTGATGGCATCTTTGCAAATATATTGGAAGATAATAGGGTTACTACTGACATCATTCTTTATTGCACTCATACAAAGATTACTGAGGACCTCTGATGTGTGTGAAAAAAGCCCAAGTCTCATCGGTTCAAGGAGAGTTATGCAGGGCATTCTTGGCCAAAAGGCTGCTGGCCTCTGGAGTTGCAGTGGAGAGCATCAGCAACCTCAGAGCAGCACCTAGGACAATAAATTGCTGGGGGATGATCATCTGGAGATTTGGGCTGGGTTGTCATCAATATGGATGACATTCTGCTCTATCCCGCGTGTCCAGTTGATCCCAGGGAGACTGTAGAAACCATGGCACAGTACCTGGAAGTACTTTTGGTGTGGATGTGGGCTAATAAACTGAAGCATAATAAACTGACAAGATGAAAGCGCTACTGGTGAACAGAAGATCTGACCCAGAATTTAAGATGTCACCCATTCTGGATAGGGTTGCACTCCTCGTGGAGAAAGAGGTCCATAATGAGGTGGTGCTCTTGGACCCAGGCTTACTTCTAGATAAGTATGTGGCAGCTGTGCCCAGAAGTGCCCTTTACCAGCTTCAACTGGTTAGCCAGCCGTGCCCTTTCCTGGTTAGAAAAAAACAGGATTACTGCTGTGCATGCCCTGGTTACATCTGCATTACAATATTGCAATGTGCTCTGTGTGGGGCTGTCATTCAAAAGTATTCGGAAACTTCAGCTGGTCCAGAATGCTGCAGCCAGGATGTTGACTAGACAGGGTAGTAGGGATCATATCACTCCAGTCTTGGCACACCTACACTGACTTGTGTTTATGAGCACAATTCAAGGTGCTGATATTGACTTTCAAAACCCTATATGGTTTGGGACCCATATACCTGAAGGATCACCTACTCCCTTATGGACCTACCCAACCGCTATGATCATTTTCTGAGGCCCAGCTTCAGGTACCCCCACCTTCTAAGATTAAGCTGGTTGCAACCCCAGAAAGGGCCATCTCAGTCACAGCAGCAAAACTCTGGAACTCATTCACTCCCCAGGGAAATACGTCTGTCCCCTTCTGTTGTTATCTTCCACCAGCTGATGAAGAATTTTTGTTTCATTTGTCATTCCCTCAGTCATCCCTCATCCCTGCTCAAAAACACAAATAATCCCTGCTCAACTGTATTTTAGCTCTGTTTTGAATTGTTAACTGATGTGTTTGTTGGTTTTAATGGCTTTTAAAATGAGATTTTATTATATATGTTTTAATTCATTAGCTGCCTTTGTGACCCTTATGAAGGCAGAAAGGTGGGGTGTGAATTTTGTAAAATAAAAATAATGAAATAAGCTGTAGTAGGGTGGTGGGTAACTTCTTTGAAGCTGATTGCCTGTCATGAAGCTGCCTCACCCAATCAAGGGTAGACTGGGAGGGGGGAAAGACCCTAAAAGGGGCTCTGCTCCCCCTCTCACACCAATGAAGGGGAGAAAAGAGAAAGAAGTAAGCAGGCTGCCATGGTGCTAGGGTGGCTGACTTGCTGTGCCAGCAGTGAGTCCCCCACCATTTTGCTTGCTGCCCTAGACCATATACTCTACCCACCTGCCTGCCTGCTAAGGTAAGTACACTGACCTCCCATTTGCCCACCAGCTGGCAGCAAGGACTCCATTTGTCATGCTGGTGGTATGTGCCCAATCCCTTGCTCATACAGCTCACTCACAGTGGAAGATTACACCCACCTGCATGGGGCTCCACATTGGCCCTTGGTTGGGACCACAGTTGTCACAGTGGGGTGCGTATGGCAGTAAGGCTAGGGCCCTAGCTTAGACTTTTGCCCAGAGCCTCAGAACCACTAAGACCACTCTTGACCACAGATGGCAATGAGTTGAGTCATCACTTATCTCAGGATTCCTGATTATCACTGACTTCCCACAACTTTTGTTAGGGAATTTTGTCCCTAATGTTACATATGAGTTTTCTTTACAGAGTTCTGCTATAACTATACAATATAATATATTCAATTAAATAAATAAGAAGCTAGAGGCAGAAAACATAAGCAATAATATTATTTTTACTACCTAAGCATGTCTACACTTTTGTTACGGTGATGCATATGGCTGCTTTTTTTAATAACTTCACTTTTCTAAAAGAAAAGAAAATGTAATTAAAACATTATTTTGTTTTTTGAATAAAGGGTTTATTTTCCCACATCATTCCCTTCACAGATGTAATGGAAACACCTTCAAGTTCTACAATTTTAAGATCAGGACTATCCACATATTTGAAATATTTCTTATCTGTAAGCAAAATATGTTTGTTTCCTTGAAATAAATAAACCCTACAACAGTTTCATTAGAATAGTAATAAAATGGTTTAGGAAACAAATGGAAATGGAAATTACACAGCACTGGCTTACCATAGCCCTGTTTATCACTTTATGCCACATGTTGAGCAGCTGTTCAATGGTAACCAGAAGATAGGAATTTAATATGCTAGCTTACTCGGTGCAAAAAATGCCATTTATGTGCCTGCAGTACTGATGATGCATTAAGGTATGGGGAAAATACTAGCATAGAAAAACAAGCATAGAATTATTATAAGATTAAACTCAAAAGATTTCATGGATCTTTTCCCTCCTCAACAATTGTGCTTGGTGCTGAGTGGCTATGCTATTTTGATACTATAAAATGTCTTTTGATAAATGTTTTCATGCAGTTTTCATCATCATAGCTATAAAATCCCGACTTCGTATATATTTCTTTGCTTTGGTACCATTAAGTCCCAGGGAAGTGAACAGGATGCAAGCATCCCTAACTTTCTCCAGATTGCACCACCCTGTTTTACATACTACTTTTTGCTGAGCCAGCCACTAACCAATAGTGTGTCCCAGAATCCTTTTGGACCTTATGGGGCTAATTGGGACTACCCCTATGATTTTACAAAATCCTAGCTATAGATTCCAGACATCTACACTCATTCTGGCATGTGAGGAACAAAATTAAGTTCTCAATATTGTGTACAAAACTTATTTTGAATTTTTGCTTTCATTTTTTTTAAAAATACTCATTTCTATTAAAATTATTATTATTATTATTAGGAATTGTTCCTGTCAGTTGTGGGATTCAACTAGCCAAATTTGAGACACATAGGAGAAAACAGGCGAGTTAAGGAAAAGCATACTTCCAGCTGTAATATTTTTGTCCCATGCAACTGGGACAAAATACTCACAGATTGTATCCCTTCCCTCCAAAGGATCATTCCTGCCAAATTTCAGAT